GGCTTCACTCGCGTGAGCTTTAAGGAACTGCTTAGCGGGATAAAGTTAGTTAGATTATTTACTCCTGTGTAAAGAGCAATTTGGATATCGATTCATATCGTGACACTGATATAATTACAATGACACATTGAATACGTTAACGCCGGTTACTAAGTATGTTAACGTTTGAATTCCTTAGACAAAGGTAACTGGGCGAATATTATGGGTCTATGCTGCAAAATATGTAGCTTTTTGTCTCTAGTTTATCACGATGAGTGTCGCTACATGGCAGAATATAGGAGTTTCTAAAAATTATCTACACTATCAACTATTGTAGTCAGACTCATAATTTTTGGTCAGCAGACATATTTTATAAAGTAGGTACTAACTAACGAAGATTTTTGTGAAATTCAACGTAAGTATAAAATTGGTGTTGAAAGTTTATATGGAAGTCCGTCAGTTTTGAAATTAGAAACGTGAAACTTTATTTTTAGGTTACTAATAAATAGGTTCAATGTTCATGTCCGCGGCCGGATCGGATTCCACCCAGTGACCTTTCCGCTCCCATTATCATCCATTACACTTACTTCCATTTTTTAGGGATAAAATATAACCTATTTCTACCCTGGGCCTCCGATCCTGGGGAGCCTCCAAATGGCTGCAGCTATTCGCCAAAATCATAATAATATAAAAAAGTTAAAAAACAAACGCAATATCAAGTGAGTTTCTGTCCCAGTGAGGTGAGTCCGCCACGATTTTCACCGCATAAGATGACCACGTAAGCTTCCCGTAGTTGAAAGAATTTTTAATATAGGTTCAGAAGTTTCGGAGCCTATTTGTAAGCAAACTAACCATCAAATCTTTCCTCTCTAAAATATTAGTATAGAAAATATACTTCTTTGAGATTTCATCTATCATTACAAGGTTTTTGGGGTTTCTTACAAAAAATTAAAAACGGAACCCTTGATCACTTGGTTGTCCGTCTTCTTTGAGAGCTGATTTTCCCCGAAACTAAGAACTGGACCGATTGAATTGGAATTTAGTACACATCGCAATCTCAATAAAAAACGTCCTAACTCGAATTTTGTTAAAATTAGTTATAATGGAAAAACGGTCTAACACGGCAAGTGTCACAACCTACTTAATAAAAATTGAACTTTATTCTTAAACTACAAAGCGAAAAATACATCAATCACTCGCTTCGCAACCGCTTTCCCCATCAAATAGCTACCAATTCAGTCTTGCATCGGTAGTTGCGTCGAAAGTTTTGTCGAACAGTGTTCCATTTGGCTATACGTGGTCGCTTCAAAAGTCAATCATTGTCTAATGTAAGATATTTTGTCTCAAAGAGACATATCTAAAAAAGTGTACCACACTTTTTGTTAAAACTTGATTTAATAAAGGCTTAAATAAAAATTGGTCTATTTTTCTCTCATCTGCTTCAGTACAAAACGATTAATAATTTGAGTTAAATGAATGAATATATACTTACTTTATTTCACAGTAAAACATAAACATAAAAACACATAATTAGAAACAGACGCAAGAGTCGGTCTTATTGCTAAGGTAGCAATCTCTACCAGGCTACATAAATATTTATAAATACCTATTATATTTTGTTGCTTACCCTAAAAACATTTTTAGGCTTTTAGGATTTTTTAGGATTTTTAGGCTTAACAAAATATTTCCAGTTTTTACCGACTTCTCTTAGGTCTCATTCTATAAAAAATTAATAAAATAAGCTTCAAATGTACAAAACAATAGAGGCTGTAATAAATTATAAAATGAAAAGAAGGAATTACAAATTATAACCTTTCCTCTTTATAATGTTAGGATATAAAAAAATCTGTGTTAAGTGTTCTGTAGATTATTACGAGTATAATAACCGCCCCATTTCAATAGCAGTTTCTTGAATATTTAAATCGCTTTTAAAATAAGTATTATTGCTCACTTTTTAAATGTTTGAAGTCAATTCTATTTAAAATAAAATGATTTCATGATTTTCAGTGATACTGATTTTAATGATATAATAGGTATTTGCTTCGATAGCTTTATTAACTCTTAATTGTACTTTGAATAAAAATCCAAATGAACTTGTATTAGAACTATATTTATCAAGAAGACAAAAATGTGAAGGAAAAGATTATTTAAGTATGAACATGTAATGAGAAGAGAGGTTTGCATTTAACAATCCAAGCAGCACAGATTTTAAGTGTACCGCATGCATGAATTAATTCTGCCACTTACGTGATGCCCATCCACCACTGAGAATATAGGAAAACTTCTTCGTGAAATACTACTTGAACTTATTAATTTAATTTTCGTGATATTTGTATTGTAATGTAAATATTTATTAGTGTTACATCACAAAATTATGCGTGTGATATAGATCCTGAATATTTTTATAAAGAGTTTACGAATTGTATTAAAAAACTGTGGTCATTTTGTAATGTGGTCATTTAAAACTGTGAATATTTTTATTCCATGGTGTTTACTTACGTTTATAGCAGACATAACAATACTAAAAGTATCCATAAAAAAATTACGCACCTAGTTCTAAAATTTGGTAAGTTTGGTTGCTCTGGAATCTTTATATTACCTATTTAATAAACGTTTAAAAAACCAGACCAAAAAATAATTATTTATATTTACACGCAAAAAAACGGCTTTATGATTAAAGCTATCTATTTCAGAGACCCGTCTATAGATGTTTGTGCCGTCATATTAAATCAAAATATTACAGTCGTTCTCAATTTCACATTTTTTTATTCTGTTACTCTGTTTTTTGTTTATGCTTATTAACATCAGCCAACCCAAGTAGCACAAAACACCATTATATCAAACTTATGATAGCTCGAGTCCAAGCGTTAAGCTTTATAATAAAATCGTATATCAACCGTATTTCTTTTAAACGACTCTTATACGTAAAATTTGGGCCCCCCCTTTGTACGATTTTAAGCTTTATAAAAGCTGTGCAATAGCACTACAACTTTTGTATAATAGCATTAATAAAGTCGGGTAAAAGCATTCTAATAGCCACAAAAAGTTCAATTAGCACCTTTAAGTGCTAATTGAACTTTTTGTGACTACATTACAATTGATATGCGTAAATCAAAATTATAATACGTTAATTTAATATTATAAAAATGCTTACTGTTTTATTTCCTTTGTAAAAAAAGTATATTTAATAGATTTTAAAAATATATTGGTTTAAGTTATTGTTTTGTGTAAGTGTCATGACATGTTCTCTTGGCTGGTCTTTTAAGTATTTTTTAATATTGATTTAAACAGCTCGTTATGTGTGAAATAAGCTGCAAACATCAGTTTGTGGAGTAGAATATACAAGTTTATGGTGTAAAATACACGCGCCTTCGCAAACTTCCTTTAACCTAGTAGCAAAAATTTTTGTTGAATTTTAGGCTTTTTAGCATTGTTTTAACAATATAATTGCTTTTATAGGCATCTGTGCACAAAATAAATTATTATTTACCCCTTTTCATCTGACACAGTTGACTTTAAATATTTTGTAAGAATTGGAAAAAAAAAGCAAATGGCGACTCGTAAAATTAAATCATTAGGTTTTCAAATATAGTGTAGTAGAGCTGTCAATCGTATTATGGTTAGACACAAAACTAAGAGCTCGTAATTCATCGTATAACACACTCCCATTTTAGGTACAGCTGTATTTTAACACTTCAGAAGTATCTTATAGTGCTTATAATCATCAAACGATTATTTCATTTTTATTTTGATTTTTAAAAGTTTCAATTAAACTAGTATACTCTTTTTTCAGTTTTCTTTTATATCCACCTGTTTTCTTTGTTTTTCCCAACGTTTTTTGTCCATGGCGCCATCGATGCGTATAAAATGCCACCATTACAATACAATACATAAAATATTTTTACATTTTAATTTCACATAAAAAATAATTACGATCTATTTATTACTTGTATCTCTATAAATAACTTAATATTGATAAAAATATAGCCTAATGTTAAATAAAAGCATAAATTAAGAAGATAAAGGAGCTTGACCTTGATTAAAGAATACTTTAAGAACAAATCGGTGCTTAAGTTTTACTAGTTCTTTATTCAATGTGTATATAGGATAAGCATTAAATCGATACAACCATAGGCCATTAGAAAACCTTTGTTTCTAGAAAATGACTAAATACAACTAAGTGCACTTAATAAATATTACGTTAATGCTTATATAATATATAATGTTTTTCATATCACCGAAATACGATAACAGCTTTATATTAATATTACCCAATACTTAAATAGGAGTTTTGACATTGGTATACTTTTTTTATTAACCATAATATGGCATTAAGCATTATTAGATAAAATAAATGCCTTTAAACAGATCCGAAACTTGACCAGTACTGATTAAAAATGTTAGTATGACTTTAGGACATAAATCAGTACTTATTTTAGTTAATATATTATTTATGTGCTACTTGGGAAAGGCATCATTTATTTTGATCGATGTACAAATAATGACAAATCGTCTATTAATCCTACTATGATTGTGAGCCGATTTTTATTAAATATTTCTTTACATATAACATTTGTACATGCAATTTTTAGCTTTGATAAATTTTGGATTTTTAATGCTGTTAATATTAATACATTTATCTTAAAAATAAAGATAAATTTTCTCAAAAAATACATATAAAATATAATTAATAAATATTGTAACTATTGGAAATCCTCCCATGAGCTTTGGTCAGTAAAGTTACCCATTTTGTGAAGTGACTATGTGTTTCAGCCAGCAAAAGTCTCTGTTTTCAGCGTAGGTACCATTAAGAGAACAAAATAGTTATTAAAAATTAAGTTTAAATATCAGAATCATTGTCTTATTTCAAGAAATCTCTAGTTACAAGCACTACTTATAGTTTAATTTTAATTTTTAGTCAACCTTATTTCATGAATAGTTTTTCTGATTTAGAGCAGTAGCATAAGGAAGTTTTAACCGGATAACAGTGATTAAAATAAAGTTAATGCATAATATTTTACCTGATTGTTGATAATCAACGTGCTTCTCATCCAAATAGTCTTGGCCGTCGCCGCCACCTGAACCATCCACGTCAACATTTTCAGAACTCTGATTACTTTCATCATCTGAATCACAATGCACCTCACTATCTCTGGTACTATTTGAAAAAGTACTTAAAGCACTAGTCGACGGATATTCTTCTTTATCTCTGGCACCACTATCGAATTTATTAGCCAGTAAACTTTCAATAGAGAAAGATAATTTTGTATCCGATTTCTCTATTACAGATTCAGCATGATCTGGTTCCATGTCCATACTTTCAGGGTTCATTTTTTCTTTAATCAAATTTCGAACCGCTAGTGCTGTCTGCTCTCATCCGAACAACTTCACAAATGAATGATGTCTCACTTTTTGGGATCGGTTATAGTGACAACTAACTCACGCGCAACAATAATTTAGACTAATTTGAAACCTTAACGGTGCGTTTTTGTCAAATCGTATCGCTGAAACGAACGTGAGACTGGGAATGTTAACTGCCTCTTCTGAAAAACATATTCGTTATTCATAGGTTCACGTCCACCTTTTGCTTATGATTGTAAAGTTGAAATTCCTTTGCGTTTCAAATTTCCCGAGTGACTGATTGGAATGAAGATGGAGAGCTTCGACTAATGGGCGTCGTTTCTGGATGACAATTCTGTATAGCACTTTTAACGGTACTACTTATTAATTGAGATTCTAAGATGTCGGTAATAGAGTTGGAATTCATTTGGGATACGTTAAATGATGCAAATAGCTCGCGGGCTGCTATCCAAGATATAATTAGAGTTGAACCAATAGTGGTTTAGAGGCGTGGCTGGATGCGCCCGCGCCTTGCGATCAAACTACGATTTATTTATATCGTGTGAGATATGGGCGCGCTCATTAATTGTGATAATTATTTGGTTAGTTCGCTTAATTGGACTCGTCACATGTTCTAGTCATAGAAGACGGATTTATAAGGGTGTTGCGATCATTTAACAGATTTATTGGTTATAATGGTCCCCGTTGAGGTTTTGGATCGTTGTGCAGATTTAATGTCAATTCAGAGTCACTATAAATAGACTCAATTGCTTTTTAGTTTGGTGAAAGAGGGTAAATCATTTTTCTGTATATCAGATAGTGGGGTGGGTGAACAAGTTAAAAATTTCAGATTCTCTTACTGCTATAGACTTATGTCGAGGTATAGTTTATTTTGTTCATCTTAAAACGATCGGTAGAAAATATAACAGAATGAAGCATCAAAACTATGATTAATTAATTAAGTTAAACTTGCCAACATTAAATATTTTTCTACTTTCCATAAAAAGCATTTTTTTTTTCACGAAAGTGCTATGTGAATATGGTACTTTTTTTTTCTCTGCCTTGATAATCTTATTAATTTTCGTTTTGACATAATAAGTAGAGATTTTATTAGTTTTCACATTTATTAAGAGCTTATTTGGAATTAATTTAAAAAGTTTGTGATTTTTCTTAGTCATTTTTTTATTCATTTAGTTTGTCATTAATTGTTACAATATTTCTTATATACATACTTTGTAAATTATACACTTATTTCATAATCTTATAGGTATAGACAACCACATCATGCACATTTATATCTCATTTTAAAGTAGACACACGGTGTCTTGTGCACGAATTTTATCTCCTCTTCAATATAATTTAGGAGTTCGATGGTGCAGTGATTAGCGCGTATGTTAAGCTGGCTTACCCTGTACCAATTTCCTTCGTCAGTAGCAGTAGTTGCTCTCGATAAATATTAAGATGTAAGCATTTATTATTATATAAATACTAGTGGATGAGGTAAATAGACTGATTATTAGTAAGTTGTTACTCTGTCAGTTTAATAGAATAAATTATATTTTTTATTAAAGCCGGTGTCGACTACTTGATTGGCGCAGCCGGTAGGATCTTAATCGAACCAACGATTAGAAAAAGTCAAAAATTTTATATATCAACGTCCGTTTCAACGGCTTGACTGGGATCACCGAACAAATAACTTTATTAAAATTTTGATACCCAGGATCAGTGTTACCTTGCACTTAATATTTCACATGATGTAAGTAGCTGCAGGTCTGCGAGTAAAACTTTACACTTTCCTTTCGTATTCCTTTATCAATAATTATATTATATGTGGTATTTGAAATTAGAAAACGCTTTAATGACGCGGGATAACATTTCCACATAATTAAATGAGATTAAACTTTTTAAAGGTCGGCAGCGCGATTGTAGCTCCACTGGTGTTGCAGGTGTCCATGGGCGGCGGTAATCGCTCACCATCAGGTGATCCGTCTGCTCGTCTGCCCCCTATTCCATAAAAAAAAAAACTTAGAATATACAAAAATAGGCCAATCACTAAAGGGTTTAGCCGGATACGTATGACGAGTCGGCCCCCAAATGGGAATCGATATTGAAACTTATGTTTTAATATAGACTTGATGTTCAAACACGATTTATGTACTTTTCGCGACCGACTTCCGCTTTGACCTTGAGATAGAGAGCAAAATATCCGTATGCTTGACTATTACTGAATGTGATATATCTCTGAAGCTAATTAAGATAAAGAAGTGAAACTAACGCGAGGTGTTAGATTACATTACAGAGTATATCACATATATTTTTTTATAATTTTTAGTTTAAAAAATTACATTAAAAAAATAAAAATAAAAAAAACATGTTTTTTTTTCTGAGTTCTCAGTGACTTACAATCACGAAATTAATATATGTTATGCTCCTTTGTGTGCTCTATCACCCATAAAAATTGCGTGACAAAAAAAGTTGGTGCAACACAACGAAAAAAAATTATATGTGATTCGCGCCTTGTAGTGTGAGTGTATAAACAAACAAGTTCGAACTTGTTATCGAGCTGTTTACTGCATCGTTTGTTTAGCTAAAGTAGCAGTCATTTGTATTACACAAGAAGGCAGTTTGGGACTCAAATTCTGTCATAGGTATTTTGTATCAGCATTTTGAAATTATTAACTATCGAACCAAATCATTATTAAGTAATAATGTCGAGAAAGTGTAAAAATTGTAACAAGTACCTGTGTAAGATTCCTGGTTATAAAAAAATTATAAAGAATGAAGAAGAAGCTAAAGTGTTTAGTGACTGTTTGAATAAAATCGTAATAATTAATGATATTTTTTGTAAGAAGTGTCGACTTATCCCATATATTAACAAAAAAGCTTCTACTTCTAAATGTGCAGCATTTAACTTGGCCGAAATAATGGACGATCAAAATAATCTCTCAGTACAATATGTGAAATCAGCACCTAATATCATCAAAGCAGAAGTAAAATCAAGACATATAAATAGAAAAGTCTATCGAATTTACATTCACTATATTTCCGAAGGTAATGACTACAATAGTATTCTTCGTTATTGCTGTGATTGCCCCAATGGCAAACGTACAGTGGGATGCTGTTCTCATGTAGCAGCTATTATTTATTATCTATCATATGGATGATATTTGTCCAAAATCGTACGTCCTGCTGAGGTCCTAACTAAGTTATTTGCGACTCAAAGTGTTCCGATTGTAATTAATTACAACAGTGACGATGATTAATATTTTGTTTCTTGTATTTTGATAGACACGAAAAAGTAATAATAATAAGTATTGAACACTGGCTGTTTTTTTTTTCATTTCTTTTTTAACTATTATCCCATCTCTTAAGACTAGTTACTTATGTTTTAAAACAAGCTGATGTGAAATTTCGAAAAAAAAACAATGATGTAATGTGAAAACCTTATAATACAGGGGTATACCATAAGACAGAAATCACATATAATTTTTTTTCGTTGTGTTGCACCAACTTTTTTTTCACGCAATTTTTATGGGTAATAGAGCACACAAAGGAGCATAACATATATTAATTTCGTGATTGTAAGTCACAGAGAACTCAGAAAAAAAAACATGATTTTTTTATTTTTATTTTTTTTATGTAATTTTTTATTCTAAAAATTATAAAAAAATATATGTGATATACTCTGTAATGTAACCTAACACCTCGCGTTAGTTTCACTTCTTTATCTTAATTAGCTTTAGAGATATATCACATTCAGTAATAGTCAAGCATACGGATATTTTGCTCTCTATCTCAAGGTCAAAGCGGAAGTCGGTCGCGAAAAGTACATAAATCGTGTTTGAACATCAAGTCTATATTAAAACATAAGTTTCAATATCGATTCCCATTTGGGGGCCGACTCGTCATACGTATCCGGCTAAACCCTTTATTTATTTTAATTTTTATGATTGTATACTTACTTTATGTTTTTTCATTTCTGGGCGCGACCGCCTAACTCATGGACGTAGCCGTAGTCGTAGCTATAACCTACGCTTTATCGATATTTCTTATGAATCTGTTTATATTCTTTTAAAATTAATTGTTTTTTTAATTTATATATTTTATCAAACATTTTGGTTTGTTTTTCTTTTCGAAATAGCATTGTTTGTTTCAATTCGATATTTTGTAAACTTTAATAATTCAGCAAATAAAAACAACTAAAAGCATTGATTAAATATGTAAATAATAAAAAATGATTAATTTTAAAACAAAATCAACATATTCATGTGTAAAACCTATAAAGCGTAGGTTATAGCTACGACTACGGCTACGTTCATGAGTTAGGCGGTCGCACCCCAGCCCTGCGATTCTGTAACAATCCAGACCCGAATTCGAATTCACTCATGTCCGAATTCTAGTCATTTAGTAAAGAAATCCTATTGATTCCATTTCTTTGAAATTATATATTGATTCCAAAATTGATTGATTAAACGTGTCTTAGATATTTTATTCTTATTATATATTTTACTTATTTCACGAAACATTATTACCAATTCAAGTTTGAGCGGATGCCGCTTTTTGAAGTGAATTCGGACACTTGAGTGGATTCGAAATCGGGTTTGAAGTTTTACAGAATCGCAGGGCTGATCTGTGTTTTATTTTCTTGCGTGTGTGTTGATTTTTACAAAAAAGGAAAATTTAACCGCGTACTTACCTATAGAGATCCATTTCTTTTTTTGCTGGAATTGTATCGTATGTCACTCAGTAGAACAGAAAAACCATTAAAAATTGTGGTTTCGATCCGTTTTCGATTCGATTTAAACAAAATTTATTTAATTGGCCCCCTGACGTAACAATGCGAACGGCAAGCTCAGACGAGGAAACTATACAGACCACGGCGAACAAGTTCAAATTAATATAATAATATTTAATTGCGGGACAATCGACCGAACATGAAACCATGGGACGTAGGGAATTATTTAGCCTAATGATGCAAATAGAATCATTAG